AGAAGTGGCGTGCACAGTCTGCATGTGAAGATTTCCCCGTGTTTGCTGACTGTTAAGTACAGAGAGGGGGCACGAACTTGGGTCAAGTCAACTCAGCAACCACAAATGGGAAGTGCATGCAGCTCTTAGCTATGCTGGGTCCTTCTTTGTCACGTGGCCTGGGGTAAGGTAGAGGAGGAGGAAGACAGACAGGAGGTGAAAATGGTGCACAGTGAGCTAACTCGACAGATTCCACAAGAAGCAAATGCTAGTAGCTTCACCGATGAATTGAGGTGAAATGAGTTCTAACATGAATTTGGAGAGTGGGGATATTTTTCCTGAGTCTAAAATATTCCTCAACGAACGTGCCTATGTTCAAGTGACCCCCTTAAATAAAGTCACATTTGAACTCCAAAACCAAACAAGCATATTGTATAAAAATATGTCTGAGGTCAAATCTTGACTAATAAAACAGGATATTCTGGGCCCTTCTCACCATCAACTGTGGCTTCCAACTTGATATTCTCATCTTGATTCCTGTGAGAATCCGAGGTTTCTCTGACACAGGAGTACTTGCTTATTACAGTTACACATGTAGGGACTAAATATTGGCGTGCGATCCTTTCTTCTTGACTTTGCTGGGGTAACTTTTGGTATAATACGAATTGTCCTCTCCGGTGAAACTGCAAACCTGTACTGGACATTTAGAAACCTTTGTACGAGCCATGTGCATGGAGTCACCTTCATAACTTTCTTTTTCTAGAGGGATTGTAGAGTGGGGAGAAGTGGAAAACACATTCCAGTCTGCAACTCAACGTTTGAAAGGGTTAGATAGTAAAATCAAGAGTAGTTGCAAGCTGGTGCCACGGTGGGGCGCCAAAGTTCTACTCGGCTAAAGCCGGCACTCTTCTAGGGGTGAGAGCAGATGCACTGGGGGAGGGGGAGGGGTGGGGCTGGAGGGTGTCCTTTATTCTCCGGTTAAACTAGCCTAGGAGACTTTGTTACATAACAAGTCTGTGCACCGGGAAAGAAGACTTTGTTAGGGAGGCAGAAGGAGGGTGGTAGTGGGTGGGGGTGAACTCTTACCACTGAGGGAAACCTCGGGACTGCTGAGCTGACTTGGGAACCCAAGCGGCCCTCTTCCCTTCGACAATTCTTTGGCTTCTTCTCAAACAGAAGCCCACGACCTCTTTTAAAGGCGGCTTGGATTTGGCCGGGGTCCTCGCCTCCTCCCGCCACCCCACCTCCTCCCCACCCCCAGCGACCTTGCTCATCCCGCGCCCCCCCCCCGTCACGCCTCTGGGTGCCCCCTCCCATGTCTGGGGTCGCTGCTTCCAGGAAGCCCAGCTCTTTCTCTACGGGGACGCCGCGGGGTTGCTCGTCTCCTCCAGCAGTCCCCCCTCTCCGCCCCCCAGGACCCTGCAGCGGGGATAAAGGGCGGCCTCCCCCGCCTGCAAGAGCTCCGGTTGCTCAGCCGTCAGCTGCCAGGAGGCGCTGATTTCATTCCCGCGCGGCTGTCGCGGCCGGGGGTGGGGGGTGGGGGGCGCGGGGCTGGGGCCCAGGGGCGGGCGGGGCGGGAGGCGGTGGCCTCGGCCCGCAGAAGCTGAGCGACGGCCGGCCGGGGTTTATTACATCCCAGCCACCCGCAAATGTTAGGAACGCGCTTTTAGAGGCACGGTAATCCGAGTTTAAATATTAAAAGTAAAATCAGAACCAGTGGAGTATTTACCTAGAGACCGAGCAGATCTCTTTTTTGCGAGGGGGAGGACACTGAGGAGAGCGGCCCGCGTGCACAAGCACTTCTCCGCCTCGGTGGCACCGCCAGGGCAGCCCGGACCCACTGGGACCGCTTCCCCCCGCGCTGATGAGTGGCGGGAGCCTCAGACCCCCTCGCTTCCCCAGGAAGATGGTAGACTTTCGAGTTCGGTCCAAATCTTTTGCTTTGTCAGATTCTCCTTTTTAAGGGTTTCCCGGACTAACACAAAAGGTGGCCAAAAGTGCGTTGGATCAATAGCAAAGATTGTTATTTAGATAACGAATTAATCTCCCTGTTATAATACTTTTTTATAGTTGAACTTTGTACCCCTTCCATAAGAAAAAAGAAATTTAAAGGGAAAAAAGTCTCAAACAGGATTAAGGTTTTAATTACAACACCCTATCGAAATACTGTGTTTGATGAGCTGATCTTATCAATTAATAGTAGTGTTAAGGCTCTAGAAACAGAGTCACGGAAAATACGCTCAAGGAACTGTTTATAAAGTAACCGCGCCTAGAAAAGTAGAGGGCCAGTAAACCACATGTATTGTATCCCAGAAGGCTTAGGATCCGCGCTGTCCCTGGCCGGGGGCGCATCTGGGACAGGGGCCTGCGTTGGAGAGGAAAACAACAAATAAGAGAAGCCTCTTCCAAGCCGAGGCCCACATCAAAGTTGGGGCCCCCAAAGGGCGGTGCAGTTCACTGAGTTTGGGTCAGCGTTATATTCGAGGGGCAAATAAAGTGATTTGAACATGCATCAACAGTTTTCCATAAAATACGAGTTAAAAGAAGTAATAGAAGTAATCACTGTCTCCTCAAATCAAGTAGAAAACATTTCAATGCACTAATTAGAGTAATTAGAATAATAAGCCTCTGCCTATATGTGGTAAGACAATGTGTACAAACAACTTTATTTAATGTATACTGGTAATCAGCGATGCGTGCCTGCTTGAATGCTCAGCGCAATAAAACTACCCTCCGTCCGCCCAAACAATCAAATACAAATTAGTTTAATGATTGTGCCTGCTGAATGTCTTAGAAATCCACAGGCAGAGGCGAGTAAATAGAAGCATCCCTGTTTGTGTGCGACCCTGCCCCGGCTGGCCGCAGGGCCGGCCGTGCGAGTGACCACAGGCAGACGCGGCTGGAGCAAGCGAGCCGGACACTCCAGCACCGGGCTGAACCAGGCCAGGCGCCCGCCCGCACAGACCAGTTCTCCGCTGGAGTCCCGGCTAGTGTCCTTAGTTGCCTTCCCCACCACGGTTTGCAAGCTCCTGGCTCTGCAGTCAGGATGCCTAAGGTATACCCAGAGCTCCAGTCCCACCCTACCCCCCCAGAGGCCTTTCCCTCCAAGAGGCGAAAGGTCTCGTGGAACCCCCACTCCCTTCTGCGAGGCTTTTTGAGAGTTTCTTTTCCCGTGGAAACTGCTCTGGAAGTTAGGGGAGGCTATGGGCTGGAAACGTGCCACCCAGCCTTAGAGTGAGTGGCCGGCCCAGGAGACGCTAGCCAGGCCTCCAGTCCTGGGAGAGGCCCCGAGCTTCTGGAGGCCCCCTTGGACTCAGACGCGCCTGGCACCCAGGGTTCTTTCTCGCACTTGTCTCACAGGAACTGTGACGTTGGACTTTAGGCTCCTAAGTGAGGGGCCGGTTGCTGGAAGTTAGAGAACCTTTTCTTCCTGGCATTTGCGTTTGGAAGGGAAGGTTCCTCTCCACTGGAGGCTGGCCGCTGAGGCCAGAAACTATCCCAAGTTTGCTGAGTGGGGGCCGGAGGAGCACACGTTCAGAACTTCGTCCCCCAACTTTTTCGGCGGTTCCCCTTCAATGCACAACCTCCACAAAGCTCGGAAGCGCCCCAGTGATGTCCCAGGCAGCCGTTAGTCCCGCCTCCACTCTCCCTGCGTGGTAGCCAGCTCCTTCTATTCCGGGGCCACGGTTTCTCACAATCGCTTCTCCCGAGAGCCGATCGCTGTCTTGGGACGTTGCCAAGAGTAAGGGGAAGGATGGCGGGCAGGCAGTTGCTGTGTGTGGGGTGGGGGTGGGGGGGAGATCCACACTTTGCTCTAACCCCGCGGTCACCTCGGTACTCCGGACACCTCTGCCTTTGCCACCCGCTGCCTGCCTGTGGCGAGGGACTGCCTTTTCTGGTGCCTGCATTTCGCTGCCCACCCGCGAACATGCACCCCACACCCAAAGCAGCGCCCCTAGCCTCAGGCCCTGACCTGTCGGTAGTCCCAGAGGGCGCCCACCCCTACGGACCTCCCTTGAGAAGAGAGACTCAGGATCCACCTCGGTGACCGCCCTTCCCACGGAGGTCAGGGCTTCGCTGCCCTTGGATACCAGAAAAATTCCCGCTTTGCCGCATCTCTCCGCTGGGCCTGGGCGGACAGGGAAGGACCAGCTCCCCTCATCCGCTTTCCTTCGGTGCTCAGCTCCTGCGGTCCCTTAAGGCCGCCACTGAGCCATGGGAGCCGCCTGGCAGTCACCACCCTTTCCAGTCTTGCCCAGTAACTGTAAGAACTTTGAAGGAATATTTGTTAGGGGAAAACAACATCAACAGAAGTTATTAATGTCAAATAATTCTCTTCAGAATCGCGTGCTGTGGAACATAAAAGGTCACATAAAAATTCTTCTGACAGAATGAGATTTCTTACGAGGAGGAGGGAAGGAGTTGTTACATTTTTGTCCCTGGATTTGCTTGAACCTTAAAGCCCTCTTGGATTACAATGACTAATTTGTGTTACAAATTCACAAGGAACTTTCTTTTCCCCCACTCTGCTGGCAAACTCTGTGGCCGAGTATTTTGGTCTGTGGAACTTTAAAAAATTTTTTTCTTTTCTTTCTAAACAACAAAGACAAAAGAAACACTGGTGGGAAGGAAAATATATGAGCCCATTTTTCAAAAAAAAAAAACCTCAAGTTCCAATTTACTCCACAAGGAAGTTGCCTACTGACAAAATATGGCACAAGGAGAGTTAATTCATAACGATTAAAATCCCGTCCAGCTTTCTCAGACAGGGCCCAACACTGCCTGCCTTTCCAAAATCCTTGACACCTCATGTGTGTGTAGGGGACGCGCATGCGGGCACGCGCCTGCGCCTTACCCACCGGCTCCATTCTTAAACAGAGGGAGATATTTGCGACCAAATACAGACCCTTCCAGAGCCCAGGCTGTTTAGGCACAAACCACTTATGGAAACTCCCTTGCCACCCCCCCACCCCATTGCAGACAAAGAGCTATAAAAACTCAAAAAGACGGGAAGAATGGACTTTAAGATATAGATGCACTTTTACTGGTGTATTAAATAACATAGCAGACATTTTTTTAAAAGGAAATACATCTTAATGTTACCAACAATCAGAATCCTAGGAACAATAAGAGACTAGACTGTTTTGATGGGATGTGATATTGTCTCTAATAACCTCTAACAGCTAAGTGGAGCAGCAGTGTCATTAAGGTCCAGGAAAGGTACTACATAATAAAGTTGATTAACTTTTTAAAAGAAGGGGATACATGTTCTGGGTTCCTCCCCTCCCACAAACGCCAGAACAATGTGAAAACATTCTGATTGTTTATCTCCACACCCAAGCAAAGCCTGGAAGCATCTGAAAGCCATTTCCACACTCCAGTACTTGTCTCTAGATAAGCAGACATTGAAAAAACATTGGCCCACGTTCTGGAAACGTGGGCCAATTGATTCCTTGAATTGGTGAGCTGGGTGGCAGACCCTTGCCACTTTTTTTTTCCTATCCTGAATCAAGTGGTGGAAATAGCCATGAGAATCCCCAGTGGTTTTCTACTGCCTTTTGAATCCCATTCAGAGACTGTGTATCATTTTAAAAAATAAACTTTCCTGAAGAGAAAATATTTATCTGAAATCCAGATGAATAGGCCATTAGTCACATTGTCAAGATTCATAGTACTTCCGGATGCAGGTCCCCCTTTCACTTGAAATAAACACCATTCCTTTGCTTTACCCCTGAAAAATACAAGGAGAACCAAGGACATCCCCACTTCACCACCCTTCTCTCTTTTTTCTGTGCAAACTCTATCATTCATTCCATTCTTTAATTTGTAAGGGAATTCAATAGAATGTAAAACATAGTTCCATGAATTAATTGAAAAATCAACAAAGACAAACCAAAGAGAGAAGAAATGAAAAGATAATCTCATCAGGCTCCCCAGAACACTCTCAGAGATGCTAAAGTATCCATAAGGAAACTAAAAGGCGAGTGAAGACATCACATGTCTGGACCATTACTGCTCCCTCATTTTATTATTTTTTTAGACAAATAAGAAGATAGATGAGAGCCTTCGTCAAAACCATTTCACCAAAAATTCTGCCTGCTAGTGTACGAACAGGAAGAGGAGGGAACAGGGAGGTGGTTTTGTTGCTGCTATCTGAAACATACAGGACATTTCTTCATGGGAACTGAGAATGTTTAAAATCACCAAGCATAATATTATTTGTGTCCATTCCTTTCCTATGACCTTCACATACTCTTTCTGATATGACCATTTCCTCCCCATTATATACACACATGCATATAAAATATGGCATGTTTTGAGCAAACACAAACACTACATTTTTGTCTTTAGGATAGAGATGACTTCCCAGTATCTCACAATTGCTCCATTTGTAATCATGGCTCTGACTTTTTTTTTTTTAAGTAGTGGGCAATACATTCTAAGACAAGCATGGAAGCTACCAGAAAATCTTTAGAACCCAAATGGCCAGCATGTGTCAGGAATATAGTGTTTCTGTTTAGTGTGTGATGTTTCTTGGTCTGTTCTTAGCTGTTGTGGCTAAAAACAAAAATGCTTTCCCAAGGTCCACCAAAATGCCCTGCAGAGGGCAGATGCAGCTTGCTTTCTGCCTTCAGCAGAGGGATATTGACCCAGAACTCAAATCTATACCTAGCTTAAACATTTTACCCATCAGCATGTCTGCGGTCACAAAACACTTCTTCTTTCTGTCACTTCTTGTTCAGACTATTGATAAGATCATTTGGCAGAATCTGTTTGGGACCCATGTAATATTGACTAGGAATTAGAAAGGATGATCAGAGGTAATAAGCCCAGAAACTACTTTCCTAAACGGACATTTGTATTTTAAGTCAGTGTTCCAGGGAGGATTTTAAATACACCAGCCAACTTATAAACTAAGCCCACACTGTTTGAACCCCTCACTAACATCAAAAGTTCTTTTGTTTGTTTTGGTTTTTTTAAGTTCGGTGCTCTATCTAACACCTGAAACAAACCATTAGTACTATGGCTTGGATCTCTTCCATACATTCTTTCCTTCCTTTTTTAATTTGGAGTGTTGCTGTTGTTGTTGTTGTTTACCTAATAAGAAAGAAACACTGTTGCAAAAAGGGTTGTAAAAAGTGTCTTTCCCTGTACATCTAAGAGGAACAACAAGCAGTATCTATTTTTAATTATTTGACAAACACATAAATGGCATTTTTGTTGTTGAAAGATATTTGCTAATTATGAAGAATAATTTCTAGCTAAGTCTCACTTTTCGGAAGATCCCAAATTATCTAAGGACACGTGAGTAGAGGTTAAAGTCCATCTAGCTCCACTGATGCTTCCTTAAACTGGCATTAGCAAAGGAGCAGCTAACCTGGAAGGAAGGTATAGGAACATGGGCATGTATTTGCAAGGCAAATGTTTTTGTTGGTCCAGGAAATGGCAAACAAATTGATGCTCCAACCGAATGACAATTTTGATTTAATGCAATAAGGCAGTGAAGGAAATACTTGGGACCCACGATAGTTTCTGAAAAGAAAAGTCCAAACAGTAGTCTTCATTAAAAAAATTAAGTAAATATTTTTGGAAGTTATAAACATGAAAGCTGGCAATATATGCATAAAATTTATTCCAAAACTTTATGAAGTATAAAGGAAGGGAAGTGATTTATACACAACTCAGCTCAGTATAAGTATAAGGTCTAGGTAGGGCTTCTCCCCCTCTTAGAACTTGGCACTATCTTTTAAAATAAAATAAAGATATTTCAATAATTAGAACAAACTATGAAGGTATTGTGCATTTCTGTTTTATGTAATAATAAAATATTACTTTAACATAAATATATAAGGATCTCTGCGCTTTTATTTTCCCCACAAGCACAATCAAATGTACCAAAACAAAGCATTTTTAAAAAAAGAAACTGAACAACAACAACAAAAAAATGACATCCCATATAGATCTTGCTACCTACTCATTTAAAGCTACAGAAAACCAGTTTTCAGAACCTTTTGCTCCAAAAGAAATAAATATACATTGAGGCAGGCCACATAAAACGATATGAAAATATTTCCCTGGGTAGCATTAAAAAAAGAAAAATAGACAAAGAAACATTTAAACTATTTCTGCATTTCAAAAGACAGATATTAAACATATATACATATGGTAAGGTTCAGTGGTAACTTTTTATTTTTGTAAGCCTATGAGAGCAAGAAGCTGTAGACACCTCCTCGGAATCCCAGCTTCTAACCTTACCTACTTGGTAATAAGTATCTGCAAATTCATTTCCTCCTTTTACCATTGGCTATTTGCCCTCCTCTGGATTGCTTCACTGAAGGCTAGTCCCCACACATCAGGACCAAGCAGTGTGATATAACTGAAATAGCTCTATGCCATCTCCAGTGGCATTCACTGGGGGAAATGAAATACAGGCAAATAAACATGCCCATTATAAGCCACCATTTATCTTGCAAAAAACATTGAAAATGAAAAAATCACAGGTGTTTGAAAAGACAATATTGGATAAAGCATATTTCCTAAAACCTTAACTACTGAGTGCAATGCTAATCTGATGTTGAACCATATTTTCATGGTAGTGAGAATTTATTTTTTTAAAATAAACATTTATCTAATACCTAACAAAGAAATACAACTCTAAACATTGAAGGTTACTAAAAAAGTCTTTTCCCTTTTACCGCCCTTTTGTGCTGATAACTATTTAATTTTTTAACTGATCACAGTTTAGTGGTGTTAATTTTAATATAGTCATAAGCTTTTTTATTTGTGTTTTTTTTCTCTTTTTTGGTTGTTTCTTTTTTTACCTACACCTTTCAGAATATTCTATTGTGTTGGGAGTAAACCATTTCCCATTGAGACAGGGTAAAAAAATGTACTGAAAAATTCTTAACAAAGGGGGCAGAAATAAGTGTTGAAAAATGTCCCCCTCCTGCATTTGTCTTCCTTAGTGATAGAGGGGGAGAACTCTGTCCAAGCTGAACTGATACCTTTCTGTAATAAATTATGGGGGAAAGATGGTGTAAGACCAAAAATATGACTTGATAAACAAATGAACTGTTGAAGACAAAACTGTCTATCATATATATATATATCAACATACACATATATATTCACATATATGTATATATATATATATGTATATATACTGTATGCAATTGCGTGCTAAGAAACACAGTCTATACATATGTTATCAAGTTCCTGGGTTATTTTCTTTACGATAAAAAAAAAGACCTAGTAAAGGGACAAAGTTTAACCACTGCTGTCATCACAACTAATCTCTTATAATTAAGTTATTGAACCCAAAGGCAGAGAACCACACTGTGTTTCCCAATTCTCTTCAGCAGTCCCAGTTTCTTTAGGTTGGGCAACTCTAGCAATATATTTAACCTCGCATTTCTTCTGAACTCTTTCACAACGGCCCTGCCTGATAAAATGAAGTGACCGGTCACTCACTATCGATTTTTTCTTTTTCTCCCCTACCCAGAAATACTGCCTGAAAATGAAGTTTACTCTGTGGTTTACAAAAACCAGTGCTTGACTCTTACATTTATATTCCGAACAGTATTTCTGCCTTGCATAAAGCAGGGAAACCATACACATTTCCTGAATGCAAACATTTATTTATTTTGTGATATGAAGCCAATCACTCCGCTTTGAAGAAAAGGGCCGATAAATGTTACACCAGGTCTTGGGGGTTTGAAGAAAACCTAAGTTCACAAGCAGTAAGAACAAGGAGCATCAGAGCACTAGAAGTGGAGGGTGGCCAAGAGCTGCTTCGGTCCTCTCTGCTGGATAAGGATAAGGCAAAACTAAACAACCCAAGGACAGTTTCAAAATGAACAGTGGTTACTGAGAAAAAAAGGATGCTGAACTTGGTAATGTAAACTTCAATTTTCTTGCAGTGCAAATTTGTGTGGTTAAAACTTGCCTATGTTTTAAAAAAGTGTATTTTTCCCTCTTTCCTGATGGGGACCCATGTTAAATAAACACAGCAGCACGTGTCAGCTTTGGGCATGGGGAGGCTGCAGTTTTATGTTTTGTACGGTTTGGTGGATTTTTTTTCTTTTTGGTAATTTACTTAGTTTTTCCAGCTTTCTCTCTCTCTCTCTCTCTCTCTCTCTCTCTCTCTCTCTCTCTCTCTCTCTCTCTCTCTCTCTCTCTCTCTCACACACACACGCACACACACACACACACACACACACACACACACTCTACTCCCCTCTCTCACTAGGAGACATTCTACTTCATTTTCTGGGAACTCGTTTGCAAAGGTCAAAGCCCATCATTACTCCAGCTACCTGTTATAGGATAGTCCAGTGTCTTCGTTCCTTTCCTTTTCCCTTATTTTCACTATTTTTTTTCCTTTTTTAAGGGACCGGGAAAATAATAATTAAAAAACAAAAAGATCAGAAGTTAGAGGGGGAAACAGAGGTCCTGGGAAGGACCACGGACCGAAGGGGAGGGGGAGTCCCACGCTCTGCCCCTCCCCCTCTTGAGTTCACTGGACGGGCGTCTGCACCCCGTGGTGTGGTGGCGTGTCCCTACTCCCCCCGTACACATCCTCGGCGCCCGGCAGAGTCCCTCCGGGAGGGGTCATCCTTTTCTCTTTCTGTCTCCTGTTACAAAACCAAACTCTCACCACCTCCTTCTCCAGCTGTAAGCTGTCCGCGAGGGAGGTGATCTCCTGGGCCGAGGGCTTGGGGCATTTGAGGAAATGGCTCTCCAGAGCCCCCTTGACGCTCACCTCGATAGAGGTCCGCTTTTTCCGCTTGCGCCCTTGCGCTGCGATCTTGTCTATGCTGGTGGGGCTGCCCGAGGACGAGTCTGCCTCCTCCAACCACTTGTTCAACAAAGGCTTCAGCTTGCACATGTTCTTGAAGCTCAGCTGCAGGGCCTCAAACCTGCAGATGGTGGTCTGCGAGAACACGTTGCCATACAGGGTGCCCAGCGCCAGCCCCACGTCTGCTTGAGTAAATCCTAGTTTGATCCGCCTCTGCTTGAACTGCTTGGCGAACTGCTCCAGGTCGTCTGAGGTCGGCGTGTCCTCGTCGGAGTGCGGGTCGTGATGTGCGCCTGGGTGGCCCGGTGGGCCTTGTGGGGGAGGTGGCGGGGGCGGTTGCTGGTGCGGGTGAGAGTGCGGATGCGGGTGGTGGTCTGCATGATGCGGCTCGTCGTGCGCGTCCCGCAGGCCGTGGTGGTGCAGCCCAGTCGGCTGCCCTCCTGCGCCCAGCATGCCGTTCACCGTGAAGCTGGGCTGCGAGTAGAGCAAACCGCCGTTGGACGCTCCCATGGAGGGAGGGAGGTGAGCTGCAGCCGCGGCACTCCGCCATGCCCCGGGCCCGGGGTGGTGGTTGGCAGCGTGGTGCACCAGATGTGGCGGTCGCTGTTGTTGTTGCTGCTGCTGCTGCTGTTGCTGCTGCTGTTGCTGTTGCTGCTGCTGCTGCTGCTGTTGGTGCTGCTGCTGTAGCGCTCCTGGCCCGTGCAGCTCGTCGCCTCGGCCGCCCTGCTGTACCACCACCGAGGGCTTGATGTCCGGCTGGCCTAGGGGGCTGGTGGACCACGGGGAGCCGTCGCCGCCTCCCCCGCCGCCGCCCCCGCCTCCTCCACCGCCGCCGCCGCCGCCGCCCCCGCCGCCGTGGGACAGAGCGGTGATCCACTGGTGAGCGTGGCTGAGCGGGTGCCCGTTGCTCTGCAGCGCGCCGTAGTCGCCCTGCACCAGGCTCTGCGCCTCGCGATAGCCCCCTGCGCCCTGCTGCATGCCGCCGGGCGGCTCGGCGTGCACGATGGAGGCGCTGGAGGTGAGCAGGCTGTAGTGGTTAGACGCTGCGGTCGCCATGACTCTCGGAGCCGGACTGGGCGCTCTGGTTAAAGGAGCCGCGCATTTGACAGTTACTTTTCCGCCTCGGGCTCTCTCTCCTTGCTCGCCCCGCTTCTTTCCCTCTCTCTCTCTTTCTCTTTCCCCTAGCGGGCAGCTCCGACGACCGCTCCGACGCCTTCTGTTGCTGCTCCTGCTATTACTGCTGCTGCCGCGCTGCCTCCCGCCCGCCCGCCCTCGCTCTTTCTCCTCCTCTCCCTCCTCTCGCTCTCGCTCACTCTCAGACTCGCTGGGCGCTCCCCCCTCTCCCCGCGCTCTCAGGCTCTCTCCCGCTCTCTTGGCAGAGCCCGCTCGCAGCGGCACGCGCCTGGGCCCCGCCCCCTCCACCCCCTCCCATTGGCTCTGCGCCCTTTGATTTACGTGGATACCGCTAGCAACCTCCCAGGCCGGCGCCACTGATTGGTGCAGAGCCCCACCCCCCTTCCTCTTCCCTCGGGCTCTCAGTCTACTCAGCCCTTCCTCTGGTACCGCCACCCCCAGCCCAGCGACTCAGATTCTCTTAGTTCTCACCCCCCTCTCCTCTTCTGTCCCCGGCCTCCACCGCCCCTCTCTCGCATGGGCCCCGCCCCCCATCTGTCTCCCAAGCTGAGAAGCCCGGCAGCGGGGCGGTCCGGGAGCTCTGGTGGACTACAGCGGCTTGGAAGACTTGCTTGGGAGGGAGTCTACTTTCTCTTCTCCATAGGTCTTTTTGGGGGGCGTGGACGGTGGAAGAGAAAGGCTAGGTCACAGCGAGTCAGTAGGAGTCGGATTTTCATTCTTCTAGGGACACACATACGCCTCTCTCTCTCTCTCTCTCTCTCTCTCTCTCTCTCTCTCTCTCTCTCTCAGTGTGTGTGTGTGTGTGTGTGTGTGTGTGTGCGTGCGCGCGCGCGCCCTCTTCAACGTCGTTTAAACCTAGAGCGAGAGCCAAAGCCAGACTAACATCTCCCATCCCATCGAAGCTTTCTTTCCCACTGTGGTTAGAATTACAGTGCACAGGTGTCCCGTGCTCTAGGATGTGTAGATATCTTTGTCCTCAAATAAAGACCCCCACCACCCCTTCGCCATAGTAGCAAAGATCCCTTAAACTCCAGATCCATTTTTATCCCAGTCTCCTTCTCAAGACTCAGGGAGACGGAGGCTCAACCTAAGCCCTGGATTTTGAGCAACTCCAGTTGCACGGTGTTGCCTACTCTAATAGCTCAGCGCTCGGAACTGGAAATAAAACTCTGGAACTGTGTGTCACACTAACACTCGGGTGCGCACAGAGGTTATGGTTCAGAGAATCGGGAGCTTTCCCGTGGCGGACCGTCTTGTGTGAGCCTGCGGGAATCTCAGAGAAGAGTGAGCAGTCTCGGACTGGTGGAGCCGCCGAGTGCGGCTCCGGAAAGCCGCGCTGCTGGAGCTGTGCGCGTTTTCATCCGGCTGCAGGCCTGTCTGTGCAACGTTTGCGTTAGTTGCTGCAAAGGGGACGAAAATGGGCAACCCGGTTGGTGCTAGGGGATCCTTTCTAAGCAGCAACTTCAGCGGGCTCCAGAGGCCAGGGTTAGTTTAGTGTTTCAGTGCTGGCTAGTTAAGCCTTATGTAGCGGCAAACTCCCTAGTGAGGTCCAGGACTAGAGTATCCGCGGCGGGGGACCTGGCCAACCACAGAGCATCGCACCTCCAATTCCTAAGGAGCTAGGTGGGTGTCGCCAGTTTCCTCCACCTTCCTGCGAGCTGGGCTGCAGTGATCCAAGCTCAAACTCGGGCTTGAGTGGCAGGACATTCTGGAGTGCGTCGCACGCAGGCCCTGAACAGCGAATCAAAAGTGATTGCGAGTAAAGGAAAAGATCCGGGGAGCACGGATGGCCTCCCCACCTCTTTGCCCTGGCCGGGCGCCGGGTGGAGCTAGCGCCGGCTCTTTCGGCCAAATCGACGCTCAGAGGGAGCATTTTAGGACCTCGGAGCATCTTAATCTAGACAGCAGAATGGAGCGGGCCAGAAAAAAAAAATCATCATGACTAACGAGGAGCGATGCTCTTCCGGGAGTGGCTGAATTGTTTATAAATCAATGGGGTTGAGCACTAGCTCGGGCCAGCAACCTTGGCTGAGAATCTCCACGTGTCCGATGTTTATGAACATGTGTGGAGAAATCAGAAACGGCTAGGGGAGGGCCGAGCCCTAGCTCAGCCAGCAGAACAGACCTTCACCTGCAGGCGTGCACCGGCTCGGCTGCCAGGCACACCGAGCGCGTGGCGAAAGGTTCCAGCGTGAAGACTCAGACACTTTGGCCGCGCACCTGAGGGTCGTTAGGAATTTAGTAACTTTGCCGGGCCAGTAAAACATTGAAAAAGTTCCAGTCTTCTCAGTGCGCAGACTCAGCGGTTAATGAGGGTGTTTCTAGTTTGCACGCTCGGCGGGGGGGGGGGGGGCGGCGGGAAAGGCCGCTTCCTCTGGTCTTCTTCCAGGCGTCCTCTGTGCCCTGTAGGATGCTGTCTCGTTTGGGAAGCGTGCAGTTCGACCTCAGTGTTCCTTCCCAGCACTCTTGGCTTTCTTTTCTTGCTTCTCGGGAGTTCAGAGCTCCAACCCGCGGAAGAATTCAGCTGCCTGGAAGGCAGTGTGCTGAGAGGGTCTCCCTTCCCCGCCCGCAGGGCAGTTGTCCTCCTATTCCTATTTAATGTCACTTAAAAAAAAAAACAGAATCTTTGCAGCCCATAGGATGATACCCTCAAGGGAAGACTTAAGTTTCCGGATATATTGCCGATGGGTTTGTGGCGGCCCAGGTCTCTGATAAGAGCACCTCCTCCGGGTATCCAGCCCATCCCCCGCCAAGAGGTAACCTAGACCCTGGATGCTAAATGCTTATGCGTGGTAGTGGCGGTGGCAATGAGGGGTCAGAAATTGGCTGTACGTGAATATCGGCACTTATTGTGGTGGGACTCCACTGTTAATACCAGCAGATCCTCCCCACTTTGACGTCCCAGATCTGCACTCCACCCCCCAGCCCCTCCTCATTCGCTGGCGAGCGAAAGGGATGGCCCGAACGCTTCCCAACTGGTCTAGCTGGGAGAGTTGTGCCCGGTTTAGAATGCCTATTGAATCCCGCGAGTGTACTAAAATGGTGTCCCACCAAGGAACCTCAGCTTCTGTTTTCGCCCCCGCCTGGGGTGTAGGGCCGGTGAAGGGGAGGGCCCCGCTGGGAGCTCAGCTCCACTTGGAGCACCGCCCCTCTCCACCCCTCAGGGAGCCAAGGCCGCCTCCGCTTGTGGCTAGGGGCCTGGTTGGCTCAAAAGCTGGGTTGGGAGCATCTGGGAGTCCGGCCCCCCTCCCTGCGCGCCTTCTCGGCGTGCAGCAGTTCGGGGATTCCAGAAACCTTGCCTCTTGAAGATTTTAGCTCCAGATGGGGGCCTCTCTCTGGTCCCACGGTCATTAGCGCGTTTCTTCTTACTGACCCAGTAAGGAAAGAGAACGCCTGTTTGCCTGCCTGTCTCTGCTCGAAACGCTGAGCGTTGAAGGTGTCTCGGGTAGACTTCTTCGGGTTTTGAGTCGGCTTGTTCTTTTTCACTGTTCAAAGCAGCTGTTCAAATACTGCGGCTGCTTACGTTGACGTGGAGAGGATTTCAAACAACCCTAAAATGCTTTGAACTGACAAGGTGCCTTGATATCTGCCTCACTCCAGCACAGCTCCTCCAGATCACTGCTAGGACAGTGGCTGAGCAAGCAGCAAGTTGGCCTCTCTGCCTGGGGCTAGGACTGCCCAGCCCTCAGAGCTCCTACAGCAGGAGTAGGCTGGCTGCACAATGGAGAGATCTTGTCTTAGGCTGCACCTCAGGGTCTCTCAGATCTTCTGGAAGGGCGTTCTTCAGCGGTACTGTAGTTGCGCTGGTCTGAAGTGGTGTGAGCTCCGTTGGGTTATAATGGACTGGACTGAGAGAAAACAACTTGGATAGCCTCACAACGCTAAAGAATCCAAACCAAACAAAACCCCCATCGTCATTCGTGCTTCTTGAGATACTGTGCCGGGCTCTGGAAAGCAGCAAACAGCATCTGGACTCAAGTATCCAAATCTTCACCTGAGTAGCAATTAGGAGAGCAGTTCAAGCTTTGTAACTGGAACTCTGGCTTGTTAACTAGTAAACACGCTCCTGTCCTATGTAAAACTTCATGTCTTTATTTCTTTATGTTAGGAGTTGTCCGAAGGTGCACCTAACCATTCCCGGGAAGTGAAAACACGTAGTTATTAAAGTAGGGGAGATGGCATTCATTTGATTAAGATTTGAATTTGTCTTCATGATACAATCTCGGAAAAGTAGAAATCAGGTAACAGCAGAAGACAAAGAGAATTCTTAGATGCCCATTGGGAGAGTAGACGTGGCAACTTTTAAAATGATGCAAAAGTGGCCACTGGTTTTTGTTTTTGTTTTTAAAGTACATCCACCTTGGGGTGGGATTATCCCTTCTTCTCTTCCCCCTCTTGCTTTCTGCTCTTCCTCTAGCCCCAGCAGCTGTTTGATGGAGACCTCCTCTCCACACATCTCAATGGAACTTCTTTACTCAGGGTCTACAGAATGTCAAAACTGAGCCTCCGACCTCAGGGCTCCAGCTGTAAGGGCCACTCCACACAAAGAGGCAGCTGGTTGCCTTTAAGCTTCAGGAACTGCAGCCTTGGGGAATGCATTTATAAGGAGCAGAGGAAAAAATGCATTTCCAAGTTGCACGTTCTTGGGACATACACAATAAAATTTACCTGAAAAGAATATAAAATTGATCAATCTTAATTACGTAGCTATGCATTGTTTCTTGAATAAAGACTCCCCCATTTATGTTTTATCTATAAATACATTTTGCAAATCCCTAAGTGTTCACCTATCCCTATGTCACTGAAAAAGAAAAACAGCAAGCCTGAAGAAGCAAGGGTTTCTGAAAGTTGAAGCACCTTGATTCATACACTTGGAAAGTTAGGTGGTTGGTGGCTTGTGCACACACAATTCTGTTTATTTTTAACTACCAAGTAGTCCATTGAAATATACCATTCAGTGGTATTTGAAACGTTTAATTGAAATGATTTTTTTTAATTCATGGATATTCATCTTCTTTCCCTTCTTCAAGATATGGATCTCATCATTAAAAATGACCACTTTTTTGTAGTCCCAAAGTAAATATTTTATATTCAGGCATGGCTTGAAGAGTTTAACATCCAACATCCCATCACCCAGGCAGTCTAGCTGTTTTGGGGAGGGGGCATTTTTAGTAATTTATCAAAGGGAGCCTGCTAAATTTTGAGTGTTGAATGTGAGGCCAGAGGATTCATTTCAGAAACATGCCAGACAGGTCCTGTGTGGAGAAGTTGAAATCTCAGGAACAGAACATGAAAGATCTTTGTGGCTTTTAGCTCACTTTCTTAAAATTTCATTGTCAAAGTACCAGAGGTTAAATAAATTCCTAACAATGAAGCCTAAAGGTGCTTTTCTTTTTACCCTAAGGCAGGTGGGTGGATGGCCACCAGGAGGAGATGGCAACACTTTGATAAATTCAAGTGCGACGTGAACAGAAAGCTGCTGAGCATTTGAGGCTCCTGTTACAGCCTTTCCCTCTCCCCACCCTCTGAGAAGAGGAAGGCAGGCAGATCACTAACACACCTGCTCACCGCCAATCAATTGTTTCACTGAAGCCAAGGGCTGGGTTTGGTCCTTTGTCCTTACAAGAAACAGGCTGTTTTCAGTTGAAGTTAGATTTCTGTCCTTTTATTCCTGCAGCAGCACAAAGCAGGAATGCAAATCCCTTCCAAAGTGTACAAGTGCACTTAGCAATTGTGTCATCAGTACTGGGGACCGCGGTCAGCACGGAAGGGTCGGTGTCAGGAAGAGGTGTTTTCTTGAGAGCAGTTAACCACAGTGGTAGTAACTGATTGCTAAGAGCTCACCCTAGGTCCCCTGAGTTTCAGTTCTGTTATTCTACGCCCCTCTGGACATGAGAAGTAAAGGATGGAATTATGTATAAGGAAGAATTTTCAGAATGTGGTTCCTTGGTATGTAAATTGTTTGGCATTGCCTGGAAAAGACCTAGTCAAAGGAAGCCCGAGGTAAAGGGTGTAATGAGACTTCCTTGCTTTGCTTGCCCTTTCTGAGAATTTCCTATGATAATCTAGGGCAGCCTTGGCTCTAGCATTGCATTGCATGCAAAACAGAAAAAGAAGACAGGGCAGAGTCACAGGCCCGATCATTTTAGTGCCCTAGGTCAAAAGGAGAGAATAATGAATAGGCTTGGAGCTTAGTTCTTGGAAGGGAACTTAATTAACCTTGCAAGAGTGAAAGCAAGTGGGGGGATCATGCCTAGGACCAGACGTAGGACGATTGTATTTTCGCGCGTGCGCGCGCATTCTGTCAGACAGGTGAAGTCTATTTCATGGATTACCCCAATTAATTTTTAATCCTCAAAAAGCCCTCGTGTTTTTGTTTCATAGGTTCATCACCCCCTCCGCCCAAATCTGGCTGTGGGAGCACAGGATCTCGGTGGTGATGGTGGTGGTGGTGGTGGTGGTGGTGGTGGGGAGTCCTGCAGTCCTGGCTTCTGCTTACTCGCGTGATCAGCAGGGGTGTGGGGAAGGGGCTGGGGCGGCTGGAGAGCTCAGTTCCGACCTCCTGAGGGACTGCTAGGGAAGGCTTAAAAGAGGGGGTCCCTGGCTGCAGAGCGCCGAGTCAGGTCCTGGCTGCTTTCCGGGAAGGAAGACAAGGGCGAGAAGCGGGAGGCCCGGCCATTGTCCAGGGAGGGCGCATTTTTGTCCCGATGCTGCTGGTTGCTATAGCGAGCAGGGAAATCCAAACAGAAGGGCTCAGTTAGCTCCCCTTGGGCCTGGGAGCTGGTCTCCCTCTTCTCAGCCAAAATAAAAGTGCCGCCGAGGGCCTGGCACTTTTACCATGACTGCAGCTTCCAGAAGAGGGGCCCCGGGAACCACAGCATAGACCAAGGAGAGGGGTTCCATTGGCAAGCAGCAGACAGACGCACCGGTTACTGAGAATCCCCTGCCCCCACCCCCTTATCCCACTCTGCCTTATTTTATTTTGGGGGAAAAACTGCTACAACTTTCTTAAACTCCTAATGTGTTGTGTGGGCTTGAAGACCCCTCCGCACCAGCACTGACTTACAGCAACGAAAGATTCTGCAGGCGACTCTGAGAGGGCTAAAGTGCTTCCAAACCTGCCGAGAAGCAGCGGCAATACCTGGGCCACACTGCCCTGTTCTGATCATTTTAGAGTCACTCAAAAGAGAAGTTGGCTGAAAAGCAAAGTCGATGACCATGCAAAACGTTCGCATTAAAAAGACTTTTATTTTGCAATAGCTTAAAAAAGAAAGAAAGAAACAAGCCTTGCCATTCAGCCTTGAAGACACCGTGAGGAAGGGCTGCAGTTTTTATTCCTGTGTGTGTCATATCTCCAACAGTACAGCGCCTGGTAGAAAGGGGAATAAGAATATTTAGTTAGTAGCAAACTGTTAGCCTCAGAAAATTCTGAGCTTATAGTTTTCAAGAGAGAGCCATGGTTACTGATAGGGCAGATAAGCAGTCAAGACTTTGTTCCTGACACTAGCTTTCCACACCAAGAACATGAGCTAACAGGGGCTTTAACAGTATTCTTACTCCACAGAAACTTTTAAAGTTTGACATCTGTCATCTCCTTCCCCCCTCCTCTCCCATTCACCTCTCAGTCTCTACCCTAGAAACTTCATTAAAAGCTGCATGGAAAACTTTTATTTGATCCAAGGAAAGCATTTAAAGTCAAATAACTGTATCTCTCTACTTCCACCATTTACAAATACATGCTTTCTTTCCTAATGACAAGTTCTTTTAAATAGAAAGTTCGTGCAACTTTGGAAGAAGTCCCTTAATTTATAATGATATTCACATTTTAAAAATGCTTGAAAGAAATCATGTTAATGAAGAGAACATTTGCAGTAATTTGGTGATAATTATCAGAATCACCACATATTCGCAGAGGCTTGAACAATACGTGTTCAGAGAAAAGCAAAACACATTATTTTAATAGTCTGATATGCAAACTATAGACTGTTCAATTATGTAGCTTAATAATGCATACATGATGTGATCTTGTTATTGGGATAGGAAGGTTTGCAGTGAGTCACTCCTAATACCAAGAGTGCTCTCACATCCAGTAAAATCCATCGCCGTGGATCACAGGCCCCTGCCAAACTGCATTTAAGAGAATAAAAATTAATGACTGAGAATTTGAGCGTTAAATTAACATTAATTATATGACCTGCATGCTAGAAAGATTAAATTTCTTACACCCTAATTAGATAACATCTCCTCATACATCAAACGATTTCTATTTTCATTTCCAGGTTTCAGGAATACGGTAGCAAGTGCACTGGGGGGAGGGGGTTGGGTGGCTAAGTGTTTCCTTAACTGGGGTCAGTTTTCCCTTCAAACGTTCACTGGCAGAGCATCAAGACCGGAGGTCACAGGAAAGAGAGTTAAGTTCATTCTGACTTTGCATTGATGGTGGCAGTTAGGAGGCAGGGGCTTTGGCAGGTGGTTCTCAGGGGGACCTGCAGCATCAGAGGGTCCCTTTTGCAGCAGGCAAAAACTAGATCAGGTTTGCATCAGCTAGTCTTTCAAGGTCAACAAAACTAAGTGGCAAAAGTCCTGAAATTTCAGCCAACAAACATCATGGGTCCCTCTTTAAGAATAGAAACCGTTTAGCTTGAAGTGAAAAGTTATACCCAAGCTGGTTCAAAATGAAGGTGAAACAGTAAACAACGGTAAACAAAGGCAACCAGTCTTCCAATGGGGGAGGGGAGGAGGCAACATAAAACCCAAACAATAGAGCCCACTTTCTTCTGAAGAGGCTTAGGAGAAGTTTGTGGTGCACTGACATTTCCAAATACCATCTATGCTGATCACAAGTTCTTCCTGCTGCCTTGGCCATGTCTGTCTCTGCTTGACCTGGCCTCGGCCCTAGTGACTGCCTTGTGGTCAAGTTGGCATGGGGGGCAGGGCACATCTCCATCAGGCGAAAACCAGTTGCAGATTGGGAGGCAGCAGAAAAAGGGCAGGATTAGGGGGAGAAAGCACCCTCCCACACACCACCGGCAGATGGTTGGTGATGGCCAGTTCATTCTCTTGGTTTCTAAATCGGGACTTGCCGGTCGGTCCCAGGGCTCAGAAGAAAGCTGTCGTGCGAATCTGGTTTGGAAACAATACACAAGGAGTTAAATTCCTTTAGGTTGTGGGGTTTTCTCCTAGATACAATGTATGGTCCGGGTCGATCACGTCCCAGTGCGCCTCCCAACACCCTCACCTTCCACAAGGACCGTAGACCATTAGGACAGCTGCTCTTAAGACTGGGCGGGACCAGAGGGGCAAGATTAAAACCTCAAGGCAGCAAATTCTAAGTCACTCAGAATAGAGTTTTCACGTGTCAGTGTTTCCATTCAGCCACCTTCAGGCTTCTGGGGGTAAAGGGCATGCCTGCGACAGCGCGCTTCTAAGCGGCCCAGTAACTGGGAAGGGGCGAGCGAAGAAAGTGAGAGGTCCAGGCGGAGATTTGCTCGCCGCCCCAGGCCATGCCAGGTGGGACTGTCCCGAGAGTCCAAGTGGACTTGGGAAAGGTTAGCAACCTCTGCCACCCCGCACATTGCCCAGCGCACCCTCCGACTCGGCAGTGGCTGGTCGAACTCGCGTCCTGGGTGGAGTACCTTTCCAGGGTGGCAATGGGCCTGAAAGTTAGCTCCCCGGGTGTCAGTGGGAGGGGTGGGGGGCTGTCAAATCCCAGCCCGGAGACCCCGCAGCATGCGGTGGGGCGGGGCCTGGGGAACCTCAGCGGCTCTGGGGACCTTGTGCTCACTCCTGTGTGCTGTGGGTCACCGCTCAGTGGAGTTGGGAGCACCAGGTCACAAAGGAAACCGACCTCCCAGTATCATTGAATACTCGCGAAATTTCCCAGAGACCTTGGCAGAAAGGAACCTCTCCTCCAAGGTCCGCAGACTCCCACCGCCGCTGCGACTGCGGCTGTGGCTCGAACTTTACTGCTCCTCATAAACTGCCGGGGCCTGCCTGCTCAGGCCCCCCTACCCAGAGGCAGGGGGTCTGAGGAGTGAATCTGCTCTGCAAGATTCCCCCTCCGCTCCTGCGCCCCAGAGAGTGCCTGTGCTCAACTGAGCTAACTCCAGAAATTGCATAATCAATACTATTTCAGCATCTTCCGGGAGAGGACGCACTGTAGAATGTCACCGGGAGGAGACCGCGCCAGCTCAGGACTCTAGGTGCCTGAACCCTGTAGAATTTAAGGGAAATGCAAGGCGAGCGACTCTTGGAGCGCTCCTAAAAAGAAGGTGTGGAGGGTGGTGTATCTGTTTGGAGACACACCCCTTACTTACTCTTTGTGCTGGCAGCTTAAATGAACTGAAGGAAGCTTGCACAGTGTTTACCCTTTTTGTTTTCTCTTGGATGACTTCCCGTCAGTTTTCGGGGGGCCATTCGCAGCACAGACAGACTTTCCTATGCTCGCTGCGGACAGCCTTCGAAGTTCTAGTTTAAAGAACATTATGTAAGCCTCCTTATTTACATAAGAGGTTTGACTCAAATCTCCCAGAAAACCTTTTATCACCAAAGGAAAAACCGACCGAGTCTTTATGACACTTTGAAAACAGCAGCAGCCCATTGTTTGGGGGAATAAAAAAGAATGTAACCAAAAAATTGGAATATTTTCCACTTTTATTTGGCTTGGTTTTATATCATTTGACCAGTATTCCTAAACTTAATTCAGGCAGTGGAGACTTTTAGAGTACATTCTTTTCTTTCTTTTTTCTTTTCCTTTGCGGTTAATACCTAACTGGGCCACAGGGATGGCTTACTCCCGCTTCACACTGTTAATTCCAAATATGAGGGCACATGTTAGCAAAATCAAGTAGGCATTTTACTAATGCCCAAACTTTAAAAATATTTACAAATATATGATATTATAAGCAAAGTCAAGCAGCAATACAATACACGGAGTGAAAAAGTTTTCAAAAGTGTTTTTACCTGCACAACTTTTCCCACAGGTAAAGGATTACAAATTAAAGTGTGTTTCTCCCCTCCCCTCTTTTCTTTCTCCCCTTTCCTTGGTCATCTGCTTGCTAAACCTTGGGGACAATTTTTCTTACTGTATAATGTTATAATTCCTACTTAAGAAAATAATGCCAGAAGAGATAGAAATCCTAGTTATAATGAGTTCAAAAGTAGGATAGTGTAAGAAAGGCCAATATCTGGGCCCCCATCACACGAAAGCTAGTTTTGTAAACACAGTTCCTTCTGTGTCATCACAAAGATCAACAAGTGTTCTACAGACTCAGTTGCTTAATTATTGACAATAGAAGATGGAGCTACTTCTGGTGAATTCTTATACATTGATATGCCTCCTAGTGATCATTAACCAATGTCTCCTCATCCTGTAGACCAGAACAGATGTCACTGGACAGTCATGTCTACAACAAGGAAATTGTCTTGATGGGAAATGAAGCTAGATTGCCCCTTCTGAGTGGTACTAAGGAGATGATATGGGAGCTGTTGTTATTAAGAGGGGTTTGGAAGCATAAAGGCTGTGTTTGAAATGTTCTACAAAACTCTCTCCTTACTCTTGTCTATCATGTTGGACAAATAGATTTCAGGTCTTTTTTTTGTGACAGTTTCAAGCATTTAAACAAATTCTTTGGAGGGACACCTCACTCTTGTCTTCCCTATCACCAACTTGATAAGGTATATAAAGGTGTTAAGAGCTGAGAAATGCTAAAGAGGCATTGGCCTATTTTTTCAAAGCTTCAAGGGTCCACATTAAGGCCCCAAACAGCAATCTCTGTAGTGCAGTTGGAGCTTCAGAATGTAGTCAGCAGATGGAAAAGATATTTTAGGCAGAAGGAGTTTGCAGTTTTCTTAAAATATAACCACATGGCCATGAGTCACCTTCTTTGTCCTCTCTTTTAAGACCAACTCTCTACCTCTGTGAGCTACTAAGATATGATATTTCCACCAAAAAATAGTGCCATTGAATTGTTATTGACAACTGTGCAGCCTTGGAACATTTTACTGGGATTGTTGGTGTACTGATGAATTTATTATAATTCTTCTAAGTACCATTTTCAATGGAATTGACCCTCATCTAGGGAGAATGACCCATGATTTGCCAATGAAATTGTTGAGCCCTGTTGTGATTGTTTCGGGGAAGGCAGTTGGCGTAAGTGGATCAATGGAGTCAAATGAGCATTAACCTTTCAGTGTTAACCAGAATAAGAGGCTAAAGTGAAAATAGTTTTCTTCATCTTATATTGAGGTATAAACTTCATCTTCTGGATGTTCTGTTGTGAGAGAATATGCTAGAACAAAACCAATTCAGAGAAAAATAACAGGCAGTTAAGACCTTAGATTCAATTGAACTTTTTGTGTATAGCATTTCTCTTTCTGTCTTTTAAACTAGTTTCAGATGATTGAAATTAAAGTAGCAATGACTCTTTTATATCAAAATTTAACAGAAGTCCAGAGGAAAAAGGAATCCAAAGAACACTAGGGCTAGTTGAACAAAGCAACGGGAGTAGAGATGGAGTTGACTTGAAAGAAAATAGCTCAATAATGTGTTTCCACATCTCTGTGTTTTATGCAGTGATAATTTAACACTGTCAGTGATTTTCTGAACTATTTTTTAGAAGGCCCTACAATCTCTCTGAATTGAGAATTTTATAAGCACATCAGTCCTTATATTAAACAACTAGAAGGAAAGAAGAAACATAAGAAAATATGCACCTAGAACTAGACACAAGGCCAGTTGGTACTTGTGAGCATTCCTACTACCTACCCTACTCTACATTCCTTTGTATTTCCATCATCATCTCTCCATTTTACCTGGCCAATGGTCCATACTTCATTCATGAGACAGTTTAACCCATAGTCTTGTTTGAATAATTTTGGAGATGAACTCTCTGAGGGGGCACACTAGTGTGTTCTCTCCTCTTCCTCTGCTTATTTCTTTTTCTCCTCCTGTTTTCATTGTATTTTTATCCTCCCCCTTCCTCCTCTTCTCTAACTGTTCTGGGTAGCACTGGTCAAATTCTCCTTGTTAACAAAGATCAGTATCTCCAGTCCTGTGATGTGTGATGATTTTTATCGCATGTCAACTTGGTAGGATCTAGAAACTCTTCGGAGACAAAACTCTGGACATGGCCTATGAGAGTTGATCTTGTTTAGGCTAATTGAGGAATTGAGGTGGGAAGGCCGCCCCCAAATATGGGTGGTATTGTTCTGTTCTGGTTAGCTTTAGCTGTCAACTTGAAACAACCTAGAATCACCATGAAAAAAGAGTCCTAATGAAGAATTATCAAGATCAGAATAGCCTGTGGGTATGTCTGTGGGGAATTGTCCTGACTTATAATTGATGTAGGATGTAGGCAGAGTTTTTTGGTCAGGACCACCAGCCAGCTACCAAATAACCACACAGAGACTTAATATTAATTATAAATGCTCAGTTCACAGCTTAGGGTTGTTACTTGACAAGCTTTTACAACTTAAATTAACCCATATTTCTTATTTACTCTCTGCCATGTGGGGGTACGTTTTCAACATGACATGTTCATTTTGCTTCTCTCTTAGTCTCCTCTGGACTCCCAATGACACCGCCCTTCTTTTTCTTACCAGCATCCTGTCAGGTTGGCTCTCTGATCTAACCTTTTCTTGCCTAGCTATTGGCCCTTTTATTAAACCAACCAGAAGGTGCCTTGATGAAGACATTTTTTTAACTTAAAAATCATTTTTCATTTTACAAACCAACCCCAGTTCTCCCACCCTCCCACAAGCTTACCCTCTTCCCACCCCCATACACTCCTCACAGGGGATAAGGCCTTCCTTGGGGAGCCCAAAATCTGGCATACCAAGTTGAGGCATGACCAAGCCTCTGCATCAAGGCTCAGCAAGGTTTTGCGACATAGGGCGTGGGCGCCAAAATGCCTGTCATGCCCCTTGGTCAGGTCCTGGTGCCACTGCTAGTCCTCCCCCAACAGATCAAGTAACATAATTGTCCTCCACATTTAGAGGGTTTAGTTTGGTCCCATGTAGGTTCTCTGGCTGTCAGTCCATACTGTAAGCTTCCACTAGCTTTCCATTATGATCTTGATTTCCCTTGTTCATGTGATCCCTCCTCCCTCTCTTCAACTGAACTGCAGGAGCTCAGCCCAGTGCTTGGCTGTGGGTCACTACATCTGCTTCCATCAGATACTGGGTGTAGGTTCTATGATGACAATTAGGGCAGTCACTAACCTGACTAAAGGGGAAGGCCCATTCAGATGCCCTCTCCACTACTGTTTGGAGTCTTAACTGGGATCATCCTTGTGGATTTCTGAGAATTTCTCTAGCTTCAGGTTTATCCTTAACCCCATAATGACTCCCTTTCTCAAGATACCACTTTCATTGGATGAAGACACATCTTTACAGTGTGCAAAATTTTTATTCTATAGTAGTAGGAAGACCCACACTGAGTATGGGTAGCATGAATTCATGGGCTGGGCCTTAAACCATGCACAGGTTTAGGAAACTAGCTGGGCATAAGCTGCAAGAAGCAGCAAAAGTTCATGTGCTGTTTTTCTCTGCTCTTGACTGTGGATCTGATAATTTTAAGTGCTCACATTGTCTTCCTGGTGGTAATGGACGATTATTTGGAATTGCAAGCCAAACAAACCCTTTCTTCCCTGGTGTGCTTTTTATCAGAATATTTTTCCCAGCAACAGAGATGCAGCTAGAATTCATTCCCTAGGTGGGGGTATCAGACTGCATAAAGAGGAGAAAGCTAGCAGAGTACTTGCTTTCATTTCTCTTTGTTTCCAGAAGATGTGCTATGGATAACCTCCTCTAACTGCTGCCACTGTGCCTTGTCTACCATGTTGCAAACTGTGAGACAGAACAAGTCATTTCTTTCTTAAGGTGTTTCATTTGGTCAGGCATTTTGTCACAGCGATGGGAAAGACAGCCTTCTGGCTCAGCGATGTCAGGAGTTCAAAATCTGACCATCATTGACTGTTGGCAATTCTCAACTTTGGAACGTTTGCTATCATGCTTGTAGAATCAGGGATTAGTGAGTAATGGTTCCCAAAGTATAAACTTAGATTTATCTAAACTGCCTCACTATGCCTCCAAATACAAAGGTAACTAGAAAAATTGGGACCACTTACCTTCATTATTTTGTAGGAAAATCCATAATATGTCTGTACCTTCTAATATGCAAACATTTTTGTATGAAATTCTAAATATCTTCAAGTGAAAATTATAACAATAAAAATTATTCACATTTATGTTCTCAAAATGTTTAACCTGTTATGACAAAATTTACATTATGATTCCTATATCTCTCATAATATCCATGTGTCACAGTTAGGCTATGTGGTTTATTTTTAACCTAAAAAGAAGATTAGTGAACAAAAACACTGGGATATTGGATAGAGACCTCTTTGATAATCTGATACACAGTGAAAAATGTTGACAAGTATAG